CATAACCTAATTCTGCAGAACGTGGTTCTCATCTACATCATATCTCCTTTCCACTGCTCTGACATTGCAAAAAGGCACAGGCAGTTAAATCCACTTCGAGAATCTTTGAACCAGCAACTATAGCAAAACAAGTGAAAATTAGTCTCACAGCCTTCCAGAAGTCTGTATTTCCTTTAATTGTGGCAGCTGTTCCTCGTTCTTTCATCTCACGCGTTACTTTTGTGATATCGTTTTTTTTTTCATCCTAGCTGATCTCATATCACTCTCCACAAGCTTTCTGCATATAAGGCAAGTGATGTAAATTTAGAAATGTGTCCTTCCAAAATTTGTCACAGTCCAATTCTTCCACTATGTTTTCCATTTCAAACGCAAAATACCTCCAATTTGAGGAGCTTAGTAGTCTGTGATGACTAGGGTGATGACAGACCAGGACAACTGATGTATTTTTTTGTCCTGACATCTCCTTCCATTCTCATTAAGAAAAAAATTCAATTTGCCTTGAAATACAAAATTCGATATTCAGGCTTCACTGTCTTTAACATAGTAATACTGAAATGCTTTACAATAATTTCTAAGTCTTTATTTTCCACTGAACAACACAGGTCTCATATTAAACAGTTTCAAGTGTATTTGAGAGACGAAAGGTGACAGAACTGGTAATTACCTCATTTCTCATTAAAGATGACTTAGTACCCCAGGGACCTATATTAGAATAAATATTCTATCTCCTGTTTATTAACCTTTGTTCTTGAAAATGGTGAATGAGCGCTGATAAAGCTATCATTACTGTGACTGCCTCAGGAGCTGCCTTCCCAGCTCCTAATATGATTTGGAGTCACCTTACCAAAACTAAATAGAACTTGACTATATTATGCTCCAGACTATCTGTATCTCTAACATATACTTTAAACCTAAATATATAGGCAATATCAGCTGATGTTTCACTATCTAATATGAATGAAACCTACTAAATCTTGCATAGTTTTATATATCCTAAGATAGTATATATAAAGTAAATAGCATATATGCATATATAACATATATGAGATTTATAACATATATAAGGCACATATGCTGTAGTGAATCAAGTGCAGAAATACATGGAGTCCTTAAGTTACCTTGGATAATGTTTATTTTGGAGGGTGAACTCTTTTTTGGTAATGAACACGAACTTTCTTATGTGCTATGAGAACGTGTTGCTTCAAAAGGAAGTTCCCAAAATCCTAAATTTGGCTGTTATAGAGTAACTTATCTGCTCATATCCAAGACATATGTCCTGAAGCAGAGAGTTATACTGCTTCAATAACTGATCATTTTGAATCTGGCAATTTCCCCTTAATGTCAGCACTAATGAAGTATTATTATTTCAACTGCAGAACCTTAAAAGAAACAGAACAAACAATGAGGAAATAAAATAAGCATTGATTTAATAACAAAACAGGACCATGCCTTGATGGAGAACAGTCAGCTGTGGAATATCTGAGTGGTACCATGTCATTTTGGGCAAGCTTTGTAGGATTCAGTCAAGTATAAGAAACAAGGTAACTGAAATCAAGAGTACTAAGCTCTCAATGTGCTCAGTCACCATATTTAGTGTAAAGTAACTTATTATCCTTGTGTATATTGCTATTTTTGGGCTCAGGGACCAGACAACAAAAAAGTTTTCCTTTATAGTTGTACCATTTTTTTTTTTTTGCATAAAACTTCAAATTTCTTTTTCCAATCCAAAAAATTGACAAATTTGATGCCCTGTAACAATTTCAAAACTATCAAAAAGATTTAGGGCTGAATTCAAACATCCTGCTATGGATGCCTGTCATGGACACTGAAATTATTTCAGTCATTGCCTATCTAATAAGCCACGACCCTGGACACCGGACAATGAATGTTCTGAATCACTCAAGTTTCTAAACTGTACGTGGGGGGGATGGATAGAATATGGTTGTCAAATGCTCTGCCTCTACCAGCACTAATGGATCTGGGCAACAGCAAGTTTTCACCGGCATTAAAAAATCTCCAGAGAAAAAAAATCTGGCATTTATATAGCCTTTTTTTTCTTTTTGCTATAAGAATCCCCAAGAATGATGACAACCATTTTTGATAAGAACTGGAAGATATACTTGAAACTCAGCTACACTGATTGCTTTGTTACCTTTTAACTTCCTTGCCTGATGGTCACACTGACAGGTTTGACACTTTATTTAGTGGGGACTGGTATTAATATCTTCTTGGCTAGACATTAGACACCTACTTCACCTTATTATTTTCCTATGCATCTCCTCAAAGGGCTGATACCTTTCAGTAGCATTTGTTGCAAGTAGAACCCACAGGAGCACAAAATGACAGATGAGAATATGAAGACTTCTAGCTATCCATTATCTAGCTCAGTACTCATAAGTGTCATAGGAAGCCACACTACAGGCAGGTAACCAGTACATTTGCCAAAGTCCCTCAAAATTATACATGTTTATAAGTTTGGAAGGGAACACTCAGCTGTCTTGGTTTATTTAATAACTGAAGATTACACAATGTGAATCAAAACACAATCAATCCTACATTTCTCTGCTTGAGAGCCCTAGCCAATTATTTTAGACCACAGAATCTCAGTTTTACTGTATATGACAGGTATACAACTGAAATGTGCTCAGTATGATTTCAAATGGAAAAAACAATACAGTGAGAAATACATGGCAAGAAAAGAAAGTCCATGTCTCATCTTTTGAAGATGAGCATTTCAGCTATGGGCTAAAGAGTCTTTATCAAGCTCAGGGAATATTTTACAGTGATATCCTGAGTGAGCAGCTTTGACAGGTGAGATCATACAAAAATGGTATGGCAGGGTCAAGTCAATCAGTCATTGATACTCAAGGAACAAAGTCCTGCTCTTCAGAACCTTTGTCTTCCCTTTTTAATCCTCTTCCAGGAGAAACTAAACTAATAAAACCAGGGTGAATGTCTTCTGCTTTGTGAATCATAGCGATGTGTTGTGAGGTCAGAAAGCCATCAGAGCTGGCACGGAGAAGTGGGCAGGACTGCACAGCTGGCACAGCAGAGCCACACCTGTTGCTGAGTCTTTAGATGGTACCACTGAGCCAGCCCCATATCTAGGAAGAGTCCTGCCTTAGATACCCCACATCCTGGTGATGAGTATATTCATCAAACACTGATGGTCAGATCTCCTGAGGCAAAGGTAGGGTCTGAATCTGTGCCTCCTACAGCCCAGGTAAGTGCCCATACCCACCTAGTCAGCATTTAAAACTGGGACTTTCACATCTCCACTCCTGTTAAAAAGCAAGCCTAATGTTCACCACTTTTTTTTTTTTTCCAGAAAAAAAAAGAGCACAGCACTCAACTCTGAGAAAGGGTTCAGAGTTGCTAAGACACAGAAGCCTGTTTCATAAGCAGCTCCTGATTGCCAGCTTAGGTGCCTGCTTGCAATTTTCCCATCCCTGTGACTTCCAGGGATGCAGCCTAGTGGGGCCATGCACAGTATGGGCTTGATAATTCCACTAGGCTGCTCTGCTAGTCCCACATGCTGCAGCATCTCACTTTCATTTGTCAAGCTTTTTTTCAGTGTGCCCTCAGCCTTAAAATGGTTGCTACGGAGTGATGCTTTTTGCTTGGGAAAACAAAAAGAGGAATGTGAAAAAAACTGGGCAAATACTTAGGGGCAGGCATTATTACATCTATGCCTTTGTTGCCTTGCTTAGGAAATGGCAGCAATAATTCCCTTTGCTGCTTTATGACTTAAAAGCCAGAGTAAATTGCTAGCAAATGTTCTGACATGATTGCTAGTAAACTACTTGTATCCCCAGCAAACCAGGAGCTGCTCATGAGCAAAGAAAGAAATGGAGAAAGACAAACTCACTCTAACACAGAAGTTCACTCTTTCAGAGAGGAATTAAAACACAGCATGGCTCAAGTGCATGGGTAACAAATTCCTTCAGGATCACTGAGATTCAGGTATGCTCACCAGCATCCTGCTAAGAGCCTCCGTAGCAATCCCTCTCTGCGGGAAGAAGTGACTTCCCCTCGTCACTTCTAGGTGACCACATCCCCAGTTGCCTAGTGGGGCTGTGCCAGCCTTCAGCATGAAATGTCTTTTTAACCAGGTGCTTTAAGTCCATCTGAGTTAAAGCAAAATCCAAGTGGATTTATTTACAGCATCCAGAATAGACACCACTGTAACAAAGGGGTTTAAGGCATAACAAAGAAGCCTATGCTCAGCCTGCTTATAAGGAAAATTATGAAAGGTTCTTTTTACTCCATATCCTACTCATTTGCTGTGGGTACTCTCCTGACATGTCAGGGACACTGTTTCCCTGTGTACCATGTGTCACAGACTGCACTTAGAGAAAAACCTCTCCTCCACACCAATGTCTACAACTACTGTCCTTTCCAGGGGCTCTGAGTAGATTTAATTTTTCCTCTTGAAATTTTCTTTCTTTCCATCTGAAACTTACTTCCTTCTAACTTACTCAGCAGACGATCTTGACACTTCTCCAGTTAAATTAAGAAAGTCTCACTTCTATGGAGATGCAAATGTCACTTTGTCAGAGCAGCTGTCATCCCCTGTTCTTTACTAGCCAAGAAGCACCTTCTTGACTGAGTGCCACTTTACCTGCTGAACCTCTCCTTCCCTGCTATGATGAGTCAATTGCTTTTAATACAAAGGTGTCTCCAGGCACTGAAGTTTGTATTTAAAATCAGCTAGAACATTCATAAACACCCTTGGCACAAACATCCAATGCAACAAGTGAACACAGTCATTATCATCTCTTGAATGAGATGGTAATGCTGGGCTTAAGGCAACTGAAGGAGACAGAGAGAAAAAGCTTTCTTCCAAACATGCCATGAAAATATCACAAAGCATTGACAACAGAACAGCCTTTGGCACCTGTAACAGATACTTCCCTGGAAAATGTCATATTTTCAATACACATTAACTCTCTGTGGAACAAGAGGCAAATATAAATAGCAGTTGAAGGGAAAAGTCCAAGCTATTTTGCATGTACTTTTGAATAAGGGTCAATTTTATTTCAAGCTCCTGGGATGACCTTTAAGGTTTTCTTTAAGGCTTTCTATATGTTTCGGGACAGGATGACAAGGAAATGACAGGGGAGCTGACAGCTCTATTAACTGCAGGAAAAGGATGGGCGAGAGCTGTGTTGAATCACCTCTGGATAACAAGCTGGATTTCAGAATGCAGCCCCAATTCTTGCAGGACAAATCACGATGTGACAGGTTAGTGGTAGATGAAGCAACAGAACCTGAGGACTTCTTTTATATTCAGGGCCTTTGCTAACATACCTACTATATATAGTGCAAAGAAGGCAGGAAAAGTCCTGTACAAGAGGTCCAGGCTCAGCAAAAAGCAGATTTCAGTAACCTGCAAAAGGCTTCCTGGACAAGTCTTTGAGTAAGATGCTGTGTGTGTAATCATGCCAGTGTTTTACCCTGGCAGCACTCCATCCTAACGAATCTACTGGTTCGGTTGCTTATTCCTTACCTTTCCCTTCCCATTTGCACCACAGCTCAGGGGTCTGGAGTTAGTGGCTGTAGGGGTGCAGGGAGGGCTGTTGTCACAGTTTCTACTCCAAAATCTTTCTGTTGCCTCATTACAAATCAAGAAAGGCAAGACAGGATTCCCAGGGAGAACTCAACCTGTGTTCCTACACACTACCATGCTGCAGGGATGGGGGCAACTCCAAGGGCATTAGTGTGTGACAATCAAACGCATTTATGTCACAGAGTCCAAGTCAAGGTTAGTGTTTGCCCACAGCCAGGAAGCTCTCTCTTGGGGAATTACTGGTATTCAGTGCATTCAAACAAACTTTGGTTTTCCCCCTATTAAAATATATCCACTTGAATCATAACAAGCTATCCAGACATGAGCTGTTGGTAAGCAAGGCTTGACTAAAACATTGGCAGTTACTCTTTTTTGTTTCTTCTTTCTTGGTTAGCTGTTGTAGAAATGTGCTTCTTCCAAGCTCTTCCAGAGAAATGCTTAACTGGAGAAATTTCTTCCCTTGTCTTCCCTTTTGTTGGCCTTGAAAAAGAATTGTAAATAAGGATGGAAGAGAAAAGAAAAACAAAATTTATAGGGAACACAAAACCTCAAAACATCAATATTTTTGTTTCTGTTCTGAGGTGGTATTGAAAACACAATTTACTGGGGGACAAAAGCCCCTGAAAAATAGCCGAGACAATTAACATATTCTGAGAGATATTTAGGCTACTGTTTTTGTGGAAAAACAGGGATTTTTTTGTGTGGAATGGTTTTAAACCTCTTTTATTAGGTCTTTAATACATTGCAAAAGTCAAGAAGGGACCAGAAAAAGGCTTTCTATTATGTGGAAGCATAGAGACAGACACACAATAGGCATGGGGACAATATTCTTTGCCATATTCCTTACTCAGATCCTTATCAGTGCTGCAAGAGAGCGAAAATCCTTGTAGGATTTTTTACATTCTTTAATGTAATATCTCTCAGCAGCTGTTCTCTCCCTGCTTAACACAATTCCCAACACATTGAATAATAATAAAAAAAGTTATTTCCATTGTTTATCTTGTAACTTTAGTCCAAAAGACACAGAAGGTCCTCCATTTGTGAAAGGGTGAAAATAAATTTAATGGGGAAGCAGGAGGTGCTACCAGTTACCTTTCAACTGTTCTCTTACTGGATATACTAAATATACTTCTCAAACTTACTTTCAGATGAAATTGCTGTATCTCTGCTGAGAAAGACTGAAAAAATTGCATGTCAATCTGAGAAGAGCAAATACAGAAAGTGTTCCATGGGACTAACGAGTGACAAGAAATTCAGAAACTGCAAGACATTAATGAGATGTATTGATTTAATTAGCCAGCGTAACATCATTTATCATGCTAACCACAAGAGATGTGCCCATAACAGCTAGTGCTTGAAGGTCACACTCACATGGAACGCATCTAGTACGCCACACAAATGTCCAGCTGTAAAGATCTGTTTTACTTAGGCTTGGAAAGAAGTCATTGAAAGACAATTCTGAAAAGCCTCCACAGGAATAACACAATGCTATATGCTGTAATCATGTCCATTCAACGCCTTAATAATCTGGAGTTTCTGGATTCCCAATGTTTAGTGGATTTAAATGTGGGAGGTAAACAATAAGGACTAACTTGAAGAGTGCTAACTATAATACAGTCAGAATCAGGTCATTTTATTGTTTTATAACAGCCTGTCAGTCTTTTCTCTCTGCTGTCTCTGCCTGTTCATTATTCAGGAAAGAACTTAAATAATGATGAGGCTCTGAAAGAATTCTCAGTAGCAAAAAGCTTCAAAAGGGCTCATTTATGGTCTCAGCTACATAGGGGTAAGACTCAAGTACCCTGATGAAGTGAAAAGAGTTCCCGGGGACACATGCCAGCGTAAATGAGAGTTTAATTTGGCCCCAAATTAGAAACCATTTGTCAGCTGAGGGCTCAGATATCCAACAGCATTCCATGCTGCCCCTCTGACACTGGATAGTTTTCTAAGTGGAACTTCCTTGCCTTAGTGTGAAATTATTAAAATGTTTTAAAATTAAGTTTTTAATGTCATTTTGCAAGTGTTCATGTTTGTTTCAGTTTTTAAGCAGTGTGTGGATCCATTACTGTTCCCTAAACATGTATTTCTTTAATTTAAGTTATTTTTAAAAGGGCATAATAGAATCCATGGTTATTAATTTCTTCATCCACCTTCCCACCAGGAAGAATTAGAAAGGCACCTCTCAGGAGCACATACGTTCCAGTTCCATACCTTCTACATGCTGGCCTGGAAGCTCAGCTTTACAAAGCACATGAACCTTTGATCAGGGGAATTTCAGATAAACTGCAACAACTGAAAACTTTGCAAAGCAAAAGCCCTCCTGCATTCCAGGAGGTGAGAAAGTGTTCAGCACTAACACCTACACAAGTGACGATCACCAGGAGGTTGGACTCATTTGCAGTGACTTCTGCTCATGGACCTTTTGGATGCCTGAGTTGAACAAGGACGTTGCAAATTAGAACCTGCTCACAACTTTATCAGTGAGTCTGTTTCTGCTGTATTTAAACTGCCTTTGCAGTGGTTGCACAGGAGAGCCAGTCTAAAGGATTTTTCCTGTTACAGAGAGAATGGGGTACTGTGTTATTCTGGCTCTGTTATATGCAGAATATGGAGAGCTGAAGTCTAGTTCTTCTCCCTTTGGTCCCTTCTTGTTACCTTTAAAGTTCCATTCAGGGTAATTTAAAACTTTTTTTTTTTTAAGTTAGTGCAGTACTAAATGACCATTTCTAGCACAAAATGGCCAAAGTAATTGCCCAGGGAAGTTGGTGTGACTTTCAGAGGTTAGAGGGCTACATTCTTACTGACAAAAGAAATACAGATTATTTGCATGGTGCATTAACAGCATGAAAGGAAAAGGCCTGGATGGTAGGGTTTTAGTGAGAATGCAGCCAGTCATCATGGCTCACTGGAAGAGTTCGTCTTCTAGCTTTCTAGCCTGTTTCATGTAATATTTGCCTTACTCTTCAGGTGCTGTTTCTCTTGCTGGATATTCAAGTAGCAAAGGAACATCAGCAAATACGTAAAATTTTTTCTGATACCATCTATATGAGGGACAGGACATTTCTGTGCGTGCACCTCTGTTAAACCTTCCTATATTACATACCCTTCCTAATGACCTGTAGGATGTTCAGCCCAACTAATACAATGAAACTCAGATTATACAGAAATAGCACATACTTGAGAAGTCACCTCCTATGCTTCAGTCAGTGGCAACAAGGATAGACAGCATCCCTCCTAGGTCTTAGCAGCTGTCTGTAAAAGAAGGGACACCCCAGACAATTTATCTGAGCACCTGAAGTGCAGATTTTCTACTTTGGAAAAGGGGTCTCCTAGAATACCTTGCAAAGACATGATTGTTCCCCCTTTTGCAATGCAAATGTTAGATCTGGGTGTTGGACTGAAGTTACATCTTTAAGGCTAATCTTTGCTCCTTTATATGAGGCAGGAAATTCCAAATCTGTGATCAAAGCAACACACATACTTCATAGCCCATTTAACTTTTTGTTTTTCAGATGGATTAGGACAAAACAAGAACCGCACATTCTAAGAAGACTGGATATTATATTAATGACAAGTCCACGAGAGTATGAACAAGCTGCTGCAGTTTAATAAAAAGCAGAATTTCCTAGACTCGCATAAACTATTAGCTCATTGACTAAAATAGACCTGCTGTCTCTGTTTGCTGTAGAAGCCCAGCTGCTCTGCTGATCTCAACAAAAGAACAATTGCAGCTACAATAAAAACCCTGGGATCTTGAAAAACATGAGACGATATCAGCTGTTAAACAGGATAGAAATAACACAGCAGTGAAACTAATAAATAAATACAAACAGGTTTAAGGTGTTCTCTTCAGAAACACTGTCCTATGGGTTATAGATCTGAAGATTAGCTTTTAACAGTTCTGACATACAAGGAACCCATGCAAGCACTTACACATCTCCCCTGTGTAAGTGCTTCAGTTCTTGTTCCTGGCTACATAAATCACAGGCAGGGTAAACGCATTACGAGTAAAGAGAAGGAAATAATATGATCTCCTAGCAGAGAGAGCAACAGCTTTTCACTTACGTGCCAAAATGCCACACAACTATTAGTATGGAACAAGATACGACTTCTTTTAGAAACAGTCTATAGCAAATTCACATTTTATCTTCTAAATCCTTGGCTTCTTACAGTCTTTTAGCATGTTTCTCCTAATAACATGCCTCTCAAGACTAGACCGTGCTTTTCTGCTTTTCTCCCATTTTGTAAGCACAGAAGAAAGACAAAGCAGGTACAGATGCACAAAAAAAGAACTAAATGTCCAAATCCCAGCGTGCCAGCCACAAAGCCCCAGGATATCCAGTTACACTGGGCAAAAGCCATAGTGCTGAAAGATAGAAAATGTCTCTGTTCTGATATAATTTGACAGTAAAGAAGAGTTGACAGAGTCCATATAGATGCTCCTGACATATAACAACTCCCTTAGGATAGTGGATACACACGAAAGTGGGAGACAAACAGATAATACAACATTGACCACGTTGTCCAAATTCGGTGATCACAAATCAGTTTTCTGTTGACAAGACTCATTTTTCACAGCAGCATCTTTGTCTCCAAGCCTTTGCCAAACAGTTCTAACTTCATCAGTGCATTTGGGAATACATTTAACAAAATTGTCTTTTGCAGAAGTGAGATGGTACCAAAGAAATGCAATTTTGAAAAACAACAACACAGAGGGAAGGAGAAAAGCTATCTAGAAAAACTAGTGAAGATGGCCCTCAATTTCCTGATAAAATGTCCCGGTGCACTGTTACTTGCCTATTCTCTTTAGGAATTACAGGAAAATGAAATTACCAGAGATTTGCAATGTGTGCAACACCATTTCATTAGAAGGATAAGAAGTCCAAATTTTCTTATTATCAACAAATTATGTCAGTATTAAGACTGATCTAATGTTACCTTTGATCTTGAATTCTTCATGAAATCAGATGCACAAGGTACAGTTACCTGAATTAGCAAGTCCCCACAGTTTCATTGGAGACTGTGTCTAAACACATGACAATATCAGAATTCCTAATGTTTTCTTCTAAATAATTAAAATCGTTTTCATATACATCATTAAAGCCTTAAACCCCTGCTTAGATTATGTGACAAAAAACTTCATGGCAGAAAATACCAAATATAAATTTACGTGTCCTTTTGTGCATTACTGTATCATCTTTGATTAGAGGATTACATTAAATTAATAACTAACAATAGCTTGGATTACCTTCTGCAGCTGTACATGTCATTCCTGTGCATTTGTTGTCATGCATCAGGGTAATAAAGACCATGGTATACATAAATCACATTGCTAATCAGACAAAGATTACTGAAGACACTCTGCTCATTCATCCATCCTTCCCTAAAGTCAGGCCACTACCATTAGCAAGCTTATGTTTGAACATTGCTAAATTGACATGAACTGTTACTTGAAATGGACTTAAGCAAGACAAAACATTTCTAGTTGTTGTTGGTAGGCAGAGGAATGCAGAACGTCATGGTGACAGACCAACCTGCCTTTGGCTGATCAGTGTAGCCTGCACTTTAGAAAGACTGCTAATGATAGGGCAAAAATTGTGCAGTGTATATTCAATGTTTTTAAACACAACAACAAAAAAATTCCTTCCAACTAGACTTTAATAAAATATGTCAGTGACCTAGCACCTGCTGTCTGTGCTGCTGTCTCATGGAGCTTTGAATCAAATCCATGATCCCAAAGCAATTTCTTCAAGATACCTGAAAATCTGGGCTCAGGATAGCTCTACACTTCCCACAAGAGAAAAACTTTTCACAGTGGCCCCTTCACTTATGGAGGGACCTCACATGGAAACTCTGGACCATGGCAAACCCAAACACCTTCCCCTCCCAGGCATGCTTCTGTCACTTGCCTCTTCTAACAGTGTCACCAAGAAGGTCATACATTTAAAAAAAGCAGGCAACCACACCATGCTCATCCCCACAAGATCAAGACAACAGGCATTTTGCACCTCCTTTCTGCAGAGAGAAAGGGTAGGTCACACTTGAGAGGTGCTACCTGTGTTACAGAATGCACAAAGCTGCTCCAACACTACAGTGATGACAAACTCCCACCACGCAGAATGACAGATCTGGAGAGTTCGTAGTTAAAAAAACTTATATAGGATATAGTGCATTATTATTAGCCTGGGATATAAATAACATTACATATGGAAAAACCAAAGCACAGATCTGTCAGAGGTCTGTCAGACATCTCCATGAAAGTTTGCACACTCAGGCAGGAAAAGTTTGAATCTCCCAGATCCTGTCTATAGTCACATAGCTATCAAAGCTGTAGTATGAAGTATCCAAGCTCAGAGGAGCAACACTTTCCATTAACAATACTGGAATTTGACCAGTGTCTTGCTCCAACTACTATAATTTAATTTCAATCTATCATGAGGCTTTGTTTGGTATTCATGACAGAAGGGATAGAGTATAACACTGTGTTTTTACAGGATCATTTGGTCACTAGAATCACATTCTTTTGTAGCAAATATTAAAATTAACAAACCACTCCAGAATTCAGTAGGGACAAAAAAAAATCAAATGGACCAGCAACAGAGCATTAAATAAGAACGAGATAATCTGCAATTTTTGCCTAATAGTTGAAGTATATAATATATCAACACCTGTTTACTACAGACCAGGGGGAACTCCATTCACTAGAGCATTTTTCTTATGTGTATGGTCAGGAAAATGTATGGCCAAGTGAGTGTCAATAACAGCTGAAGGGGTGAATCTGCTTGGTAGATCAGGACTAGCACAGGGCTCAGGATGATGGCATTGAGATCCTGACTCCTGCTGAGGTCTGAAATGAACTCCCAAGGTTCAAATTCTCAATGGAAAGCAGACAGAGAAGTAACCAACTTCAGGGAATAGTAGTTTGCCTATAAGCTGATCTTAATAAACATTTTCACTAGTGACCATAGCACACTGACATGGTCCACTAGAAATGTTTTAAGAACATTTACTGATGTGACAGTCGGAAGCATCATAAATAAAGATGAGGATCAAGAAAACTAAGAAAAGGATCAAACACACAAAGCACGAGGTCATGCACTTATGAAATAATCAGATTTTTCTGCCAGAGAATAATGGCATTCTTTGGGTCTCTACAGTTGGAAATGGAAGAAGAGTTGGAAATGGAAGAAGAGTTGGAATGTTTGCTATGAACCACCAGTGTGCTGCAAACTTGGAAAAAAATAGAAGTGCTAACTAATGCATGAAATGAGGTGTTACCAAAAGTAACAAACAAGTATTATGTCTCTTTGCTAAGATGCACACTCTGCGCACAATTAGCTCACTCCTGCACAAGGCAGACTAACTCAAATGGGCACAGACAGAGAATTTGCTAGAATGCTAAGCCTATCTTTGGGAAAGAAACCATTAATAAAATTAACACTGAGGAGATAGGATTGTTCCCAAAGTGTAGAATAAGTTTTAAGAACTCAGGAAGAAAGCTACCTGTATTAAAGAATGCTGTTGGCACAACAAATGGGTGGAAATTAGCCAGGGATACACTTACCCCAGAAATCAAAAGATTCCGATCAGAACAGTGAGACTCGGGTCAGGTTTCCAGTAAGGATAGCAGGACAGGCATCCCCCCTCCCGCCCCTCTCAAAGTGATTAAATTTAGGGTGGATCGGGATATGAAAGTACTCATATGAGAGAAAACCATGTGGAAGAGCACCAGCTGTAACAGGAGATTTTGTCTAAGGAATGGAAAAGTCTTACAGGTTCTGAAATCCAGCTCTTTCAAAAATGCTTTAAAATTACGTTCTATGATCAAAATAAAAATGTTAAATACTGATACTGTAACACCTGCTTAGTAGAATAAGAGACAAAAATCCAGGCTAAAATGTGAAATGATAAACTACAAAGAAAATAGCCCATGTGAGGTCTTTTTTACTTACTAGTCTTCTGGTAACTATAACAACAAATTGCAACTCATTTCTACTTCAAAGAAAAATTTTCTAAATTTGGCGAAAGCTAATATACTTTTGTGTAAATGGTTGCTCTTGCTGAGCAAGTGTCAAAATCTGGAAGAGGAGGAAGGTACACATTGTAACACATACATTAATAAATCCACAGGTAAGTAGATATATTTGCAAACTAAATCAGCATTACTGTATGACAAGATGTTCTTTTGAGTTCATGTTATCACTGCAAAAAAAACCAACAGGCCAGAAAATGTTTTCATTCACAAATAATGATGCCAATTCCAAAATCCCCAGCTTATCAAGATGTTTTTTATATGCCTGTTGCAATCTAAAAAGCACTTTTAAGGACAGAAAAAATGTTTCCTTCAGATGCACTGTTAATGTATTTTCCCTCTAAGCATCTTACAGAGCCCTCTGTTGCGCTATGTCCCCTGTCTTCTATGGGGCTCACTCATGCCTTGTTTACTTACCTACCTGGAGAACTGCCTGAGCTGCTGGAGCTGTGCTTGCTGGATCGGAACAGACCCTGCTCTTTGTACTCTCGAGATAAGAGGCTGCAACAGTCGAGATATTTTTGTGCACCTCAACCACAAAATATGATCTTAATAATTACTGTGAATCAACTAAAACAGCAACGTGTATCTTCTTCCCAATAGCCACAAATTTAAAAGGCACTCTTAATTCAGTGCATTTTCATCTTGCTTCACGTGTTTGAAAATATTTATTCCAACAAAGTCACAAAACCTCTTTACAGCAACAAAGCACAAGCTGTAAATTGTCCATGCCTCCATTTTCTTTCAAAGCTCAAACAAAGGACTGTGCTTGCCCTTTTCATATTATGTCCACACAAATCAAAGTCTGGTAAAGGACAAGTCAAGTAATCTGAGCAAACAGCCTACACTAACTATACAATTGGATTATTGCATGTCATGCTTCCCATTAGTCACAGACAGAAACTAGAAACTTCTGACATAGTTGACAAAGAAGTTGAGAGCAGAGCCGTTGCATCATGGATATACTCAGTAAGCCTATTAATCTAGGACTACATCATGCAGAGCTGACAGAGCACGGAATTTCTTTCTCCCCTCTTGCTTTACAGCCAATGTCTCTCTTCATTTTCACTTCTGAGCTCTGCTGAGCTTTCACATTAGGATGGCACAATGACGGCAACTGACTCCACGTCTGTCCAGATGTAGTCTCAGGCCTTTCTCAGACCAGCCCTCTTTTTATATGTGTGCCAACTGAATTCTGTATTCTGGAGTGGGGCTGACAGGAGAAGACAAGAGACTTCATCTCCCTGATGTAAACTGGCAATGGCTCCATTAAAGTTGGGACAGTTACATCAGCTTTATTGTACTTGATGGTCTGCCCTTCATCTGTGTAACTCAATTTACGGCCACACGGGGAATTTTCCCAGCTGCACTGCTGAACAAATGACCTTGTCATTGATAGGAGAGTCATGACCTTTATGATACAGTCATAGTTCTAAAGAAGGGGAAACACACACAGGTGAAAGATGGCCAACCCATTGCGATTGCAATTACCTGGTGTCAGTAATGAAGGTGTAAAGAAGGTGTAAAGGCTGTTTCACAAGCCCCTGGTGGAGCTGCCAGTGACACAAACATGTTGCCCATCTGCAATTCTGCCATCCTGCCTGCACTACAGAAAACTCAGTTTTGCAAAAGAAGATAAATACTAAAATGCTTTGCAATCTTGAGGAAGTGATTGAAAGCACATAAGATATGCCGATGTTTTATATTTGGAAATAAACAGTTTTCTACTGTTTACACTGATAAGTTGATACACATTTATATAATAACTGAATATAAGTGGGTAGAAGAAGTATCTATCACTAAAAACACAGAATACAGACCATGTGTAAGATGATCGGAAGGGAATGGAGCATGTGGCAGAGAGACCATAGCATTACTGCCATGTTTAAGAGAACACAGCTGAACACACTGAACCACAGTACCATGGGATCTGAACACAGCCATTGCTGTCCACAGTTAGAAAAATGCCCTGCTTTAATCAATCAGGTATTGGAAGACATAAATGTTGCTACTGAGCAATTTGCATGTGAACCTGCAAAATTTCCTGAATCTGTGAACATCAGCAAATGCTCCGTGGTGTCTGCTGTGAGGCAATTCAGCATGCTCTGAATGAATAAACTGAAGCAGTTTCAAAAGACAGAGTTGCTCAATGTTTCTATAATTTGTCCATCTGCAGATTTTGCAGTGCTTCTACAGCAGTGATACAACAGTAGCAAGAAAACCCATGGAGGTAAACCAAAAGGAATGAGAGTTATGAGCTAATTCAATACCTCAAACAAGCTATCTGTCATTTCTAATGGAGCACAGTTGGCTAGAAGAGAAATGGTAGGACACAAAGTCTAAAATTGTAAATCACAAAGTGATGTTCTGGAGGAACGGAAAATAAGGCAGCAAAACAAAAAGAAAATTACTGAAAAGCATTTGCATTTAAGCCCAGAATGTTTGAGAGCAGAATCATCCATTGTAAATTTTAATTAAAGTTGCTTCTTATATATAAAAGTTTCTCTACAAAGAAAAGTAAAATGGAAGTAAACTAGAACTTGCCCCTCAACTCACAGGATAAGACCAGTACAGCTCTCTGATTAACTCATTTGTTATGATTGTTCAGTTTATCCTAACCTACTCTAGCAGGGATTTAAACTAAGCTAGAAAGTCACACTAATTTTGGAATTAAAATAGCCCCACTGGGACTCAATTTGGTATGCCAATTTAACTATCCCAGTTAAATGGTCAAACTTGTTTAAACGAAGCAGCAAGCCCTACACAAATAGAATTGCCCTGTGACCTGTTAATGCCAGAAACAAAATTGTTGTCTGTTGTTGCAAATGGCGAGTACAGTACTGGTCTGACAGGCATGTTTTCTGCACCACACCAATAGCCAGCTTTATAATCTGATGGTATATTAGAATTAAAGCCGTCATTTTTAATCTCTTCTTGTGCCATACACTATTTGGTAACTGCACATTATGAAAGGATGCACATCTGTCTCAGTTAATGCAAGTTGGGGACTTCTTGATGTCATTGTTGATTAAATATTATTACTTCAGGACTAACACCATGCTTGGCACTACAGAAAGCAAAAATTAAGACACTTTCTGCAGTGAAGAATGCAGACTGCAACAGACACAAAATGCCAGAGAGAGGGCAAACGATAAGAAGGACCAAATATTTTGTAAGAACACAGCTTCTAGGCCAGTCCCTATCTTGCTGTATGCTTTTCCATCTGCATGGAGATGGTGTCTGCACACTTCAAAACAAAACAAGCTTTCTGTTATGGATGTATCCAAACATGATATTTAGACTACTAACTCTGGATGCAAAGACAATAACACAGTACCTAATTATGCTTTGTACTTACACTACTTTTCCAAATGCTGCTGTCAACAAGAAAATAGTAAAACTAAATATTACACTCTTCAACAGAGAGAGAAATGGAGGCAAGAGCAGTCATAGACAAAGGTCAAGAAAGAAGCCTTGAGTTGAACTTGACCGTTTTTCTGAACCTAAGTCCATTTTTTATGAGAGCCCATGGTTCACTGCAAAGATAAAAAAGGCCAAGTTTTGCTTTTATAAAGAATTTAGAATGCAAGAAAGTGTCAAATGAAGCTGTCACATCTCTAATCCACTACTAGCTCTGTAGGAAAGGTGACATAATAAATAGGAGGTGGGAAAAAAAAGCACCAATAAATTTGTCTTCAGAAACCAGAGTTCTGAATAATGTTTTTTATATGCCTGTTGTAATCTAAAAAGCACTTTTAAGGACAGGTGCCTGGTACCTGGGAAAGCATAAAACCAGATCTTTTCTGAACATGGCCAAAGAAATCGACTTTTAAATGGAAACACCCCAATTCTATATTATCAATTATCAATTATATAATATCACATGTGGTCTGATATTGTCCCTATAATTTTAATAGTTAAATGTCAATGGAGGTCTCAGAGCTAGAACCAAGGAAAGGGAAACATGACACCAAGTGTGTCAATTTGCCCTGTCAGTCCTATAGATACAGACAGACAACTGTGACCATTGGGAAACTGGGGCAGAAAAACGCCCCCAAATGGGAGGGCAGCTGGAACAGAGTTTTTTATTCTTTTTCCTTTGGTGATTTCACAATTCTACTTCCAATTGTGGTGCATCAACCCCGGCCAGCAGCTAAGCACCCATCCAGATGCTCGTGCACCCCTCATTCCTCCATGAGCACAATGGGGCAGAGAACAGGAAGAAAAAAGCAAGAAATCCTGTAGGTTGAAAGATAGTTTAACATGTGAAGGAAAGACAAAAAATCCAAACAACCAAACAAAAATGAAACCAAGTGATGCAAAGGCAGTAACTCATCACCTCTCACAAACGGGACGATGCTCAGCTATTCTCTGAGCAACCAACACCTTGGAAGTAACCCCTCTCCTCCCCTTTCTTCCACTATCCCCAGTTTCTCTGCTATACTTGATGCTGTATGGTACAGAATATCCCTTTGGCCAATTCAGGTCAGCTGTTCCTACTGTGTCCCCCCTCCTAACTTCTTGCCCACCTTCAGCCTGTTTACTGGGACAAGTGGGCATAGGGGGGAAATGAGAAAAGGTTCAGCTACATTGGTGTGCTACCAGCACTGCTGGAGCCACAAATCCATACTGCAGCACCATACATGCTGCTATGAAGAATGTTAACTCCACCCCAGGCAGACTCTGCTCACCAATGTATAGGGTAAAAAAGAATAAGCAAAAGCTTTAAACATACATAGAGAGGACAAGCTGACAAGAAATTTCATGTTCTAAGTGCACACACTGGGCTTGGCATTCTCTCAGGATTTCCTTCCTGAGCCTGCTGCAGCACTGACATTGTAGTAGCATAATGGGAGCCATTAACTCCTAGAGGAGAGACAGACCAGGCTGGATTGGGTTGATTGGTCTTTCATCTCTGGAAGGGCACTGTCCCAAAAAAATACTTCCAATGGAATGTCTGCACTCATAATTCTGGAACCATGTATGTTACCAGAGGCCAATTAACTCTTTATGGCCACAATACCAAATGGGGCAGGACATGACAAGAGACTGAACCTCAAAAGTACAAATATTCCCTAACCTAAGATTGCCCCATATATGCAAAACAATAAAAGGGGTCATTTAAAGAGGCTGAAAAAGATTTTAAAGTTGGAGTATTTTCGTGTGATAGGAATGACTTCCCTCTTCAAATTGCTCAGTCGTACTCTGGGAAGCTGAAACTGTCACAGAAATTAAGCAAAACAAACAGTAAACTAATTTAGAAAAAATATTTTATTCATAAAACGACTAAACATTGGTGCATGGACAAAATATCTTGGAGCTAGATAACTTAGTCACTGAATACAACATTCAGAATAATTTTGTTCGTTCTTTAATACTGAAAACTAAAATATTAACAGAAAAATAATATCCAGACTGGGTGCTGGGAGGCCTCAGCTACCTGTCTTTGGATGTGTAAAACCCAGGTGTTCCACACTTTGTAGGGTCCTTCTTACATTAGGATCATTTAATAAGTAAAGAGAGTGTAAACTTTCCTTGAAATTCAGAAATTTTTAAACTCATCTAACAAGAATATTCCCTCTAGAATTCATTTTCCCAAAATATTGCTGTTTTCCAAAAAGGTAGCATCTTTTTATTGTAAGAGTTAAAAGATGGAGTTTTAACAGGCCAGCCTACATAAACAGGCTCTCTCCTTCTCCTTTTCTTTTTTTTTTTTCCCCATTTGGATACCTTTTGGTATGTATTTTGAGAACACAAGAATTGTCACACTAGGTCAGATGAACCATTCCAGTACCTGACTGTTTTGCCAAGAGCAGTTGTTTAAGGAAATCTACAGATAAGCGAGGCAGGTATGGAATAAGACACTGGAATGGTCTGGGATATCTGGGATAAGATATTAAAGGATCACCTCCTTCTAACTCAAGAGCAGTCCATCCCAACAAGCAGGAATTGAGGCAAAAATTGCAGGAGACTTCTTTTCTGATCTTTGGCCTACGAACTTGGGCCATCCTGTTTCCTTGCACAAAGGAAGACAAAACTTGCTGGCAACTAAGCAAATAATCCACTCCAAAACCAAAATGGTAACAGCTTCTGTGTCCCATGTAAATATGCTATCACTCCCATGGAAGGCAGCTGAGCATCCACAACAGAGAACAACAGTTTAGAGCAGCTGTATTGACTTTCTACAAGTATCTTTCACCTCCAGCAGTTTCTGCAGAGTCACTCATCACACACTTTTTTGAAGTTGAAGGAATAATTATTCCCAGTAACCAAAACATTGTCAGTTTAAAAAACCTTATATATGGTGTAGGAATACAGAAACTGCCTTCCCTCACAAGCAGAAAGGTAAACCTTAATGTGGAAACAATATAGATGAGAAACATATAAGTTTTACAAAAACTAGATTTTATGTTTTAAAGTTGGACCTCTAAATTCACCAAAACAGAGAAAGTAAAGAACTTACATTAGTATCCATGACATTAAATATTTTAAAATATTTGCTACAGTTGTGAACTTTCCTAAGGACATATACATTGCTACCAAACACTGATAAAGGTGTTTTGGCAATGAAGACATCATAATAGTCATCCCAGCTGGATGTCAGAGGAGTCACAGGTCACTCACTCTTAGAATGACATCTAAGAATGTACTGGATGCAAAAGTGAACTCTGTCTTTGGTTTTGAAACACATTCAGATATGAAGAATACACACCACACACCCATGTTCTTTTGGATTTGCCAGTGGATTTTTTCTAGAAGTCACACCATTGGAAGTTGTCTGTACATATTTCTGCTGAAAATAAATTTGACAATAGTTTTCAACTGTATATGCATTCTTCACATCTTCAAAAAGGCAACCTATAAAAGGAAGCAGAAACAATATTCTCATTAGTCTTTACAGTGCAGGTAAAACAAAGATGTTTCTTTGCATCAACAGAAATTATATATTATAATAATATTTTTACCTAATAACACACTAATGCAATAAGAAAACAGAGGCTATATTTGAGAGCAGTGTTACTTTCCCACGTCTTTTCTACCTGGTAGGTCTCCTAAAAATTCCCAAGCTTTCTTTTTGCTCAAGCACTGCAAGGGTTGCTGAAATACGTATCAAAACTTTTTTTTTCCCCAGAATAAAAAAGCACAAGGTAGTCATCTCATCTAACTTAAAAGGCTATTTAATAGTATTTTGAAACTAGTTAGATTAAATCTTTGATACATACCCTGGTCTGTCTGAATACTGTTTGAACAGTGCCGTCACTATAAGTCAAATCCTGATTCCAAAGTCACAATGAAAAGTCCAAAGTCATAAAGAAAAAATGCCTTACATTTTAAAATGACCAGGAACCAAAATCCTACCCTAGGAGAGAAGACAAATACTTCTATACGATCAGAAGATAGCAAATGAGGTACTTTTTCTCTTTAGTGGACTAAGTCAACTGTGTAACAGCTATTTAGAGGGAAGGTGATCTATCAAATACAAGAGACCTACAGGATTTCTGCTGTCCCAACTCATTTGTTCTTTGTCACATCCATGCAGCAGTTTCTCCTGTATGGTTTTGGTTTTGGTTTAGCTTTCTTCAGGACCTGCATGATACTAACGCAGAAATTAAGCTAGCTGACTGGAAACACAATCACACATCCAGATTCTTATCTGCCAAGGAGATTGCTTCACATATTTTTTGCTGATCACAAAGACAGAAAAACGGATGGACAGGTTCCATCACAGAAGGGCACAAAAGAAAAGAAAGAAAGAAAAAAAAAGTCTACCAGGTTACACAACCATCTCCTGAAAATATATAACCTGTTTCTCCTACCCCATGAAAAACGGACCAAAAAAAAATATGTGAGATAAACACTTCCCCTTTGTTCTCTCCAAGACCTTTCAACAGTCACTTAAGTGAAGATTCAAATTACTATCAATTACCACTTTGGATTTTCACAGCTGACCCTCAATCACCACTCTACTCAACACTGTGATTAAAGAATGCATGAAACATGATCAAGCAGAAGGAATTGAATAAAAGCATAAAATATCACTGAGTGGACTGTTCAGAACAAAGGGCAAAACAGAATTAAAACATTCATTTTGAATCCTATGCCCAAAGTATGTCTCAGAGAGTGAAAAAAAACAAAGCATTTTTAACATATCTAACAGGCTTCTCAGAGAATCAGTCGTAAAAAGGCCCATGTCTAAATAACATGTCCACAAGGCATAAATGGGACATGAAAATAACAATTCTTGGTTAAGAATAGAAAAAAACCCCATGCAATCTCAATTCCTGAACACTCTCTTGCTACTCCAACACTAACAGCAATAACCTATTAGAAAGCTGCGATGTTACTACATGGAAGGCTTTGTACAGATAACAAAACTGAGATCCCTTAAAGCTTCCCCATTTCCAAATAATTCTTTTCTGCTTCCAAACTGGCACTAAAATTCACCTGAATTTTCATGTCTTAGATTAAATATAAGGAAGAAATTCTTTATGGTGAGGGTGGTGAGACACTGGCACAGGTTGCCCAGAGAAGCTGTGGATGCTCCATCTCTGGAAATGTTCCAGAGCAGGTTGGATAGGGCTTTGAGCAACCCGATCTAGTGGAAGGTGTCTCTGCCCATGTCAGGGGAGTTGGAACGATTTGATCTTTAAGGTCCCTTCCAACCCAAACCATTCTTATGATTCATGTGGAATACACATTTTCAGAAACGCCTATAGGCAATGCTGGCCAGCAAACAGCTGGCTGGCCAGGGTGAAAGTCTGCCTGCTTTCCCATGAAAATCTCACCTCACTGACATATTCCCACTGAGTGTTTTCATTCAGTTCCATCAGCATTTCCCAGCAATAAGCTGCAACATCAAAAACATTTTTGTCAGCTCAGCTAAGGGGTGTCGTAAAAGCTAGGGACTACTCATCATGTAGGGAAATTTACCCACCATGCCAAAGACCCCCACCATCAAAGACATAAAATGAAAATCAACATGCTTGCCACCTTTCTTAAGATTTAGTTGCTCAGATGAATAGAGGCAGATTCATAATTAATAGCAAATGTAAAATTTTACCTATGTGGAAGAATCATACACGCTAGGGATGAAATCCTGGCACCAATTAAGTAAAAAACTAAACTTACATTGACTTTAGCAAGGTATGAGATTTGTCCTTGCACTGCAAGGAAGAAAAAGAAAGATCAAGATAAACAATAACCATTTCAGTACACAAGATTCAAAATTTTAAGCAGATTTTCTACCTGAGGTTGCAGACACCTTTGCTACACAGCTTTGAGGTACCATTAGAGTGAATATATTTGTTTAACTTGACTACTTGCTATATTTTATAATGCATTAAACACACTTTTTCTCTCCTTTGAGAGGATTATTTGCAACATAATGTTTCCCTAGACTGCCAGGTTCTCTTACTGCCCAATAAATTGAAAAATAACAAAAAGAATCATTTATTACTGTCTGTATTTATATTTACTACTGATGTGAATGAAAAGAGCACATTAGATCACTTCTTCAGTTGACATAGCCAACAACAACAAAAAGATAATACGTGGAAATCATATGCTGCTTAACAAACCTCTGCAACTCATGAAAATATTTGAGACCAAAATCAACTGAAATCAAACCACTTTCACCTAATCAAAAGTTCAATATGAAGCATATAAAATATTTCTTTATTATACTGTTACTGTAGATGCAGTTGCATCTCTGAACAGCAATAAACTGTATCTTCTACATAATAAATCAATAGGTTGGGAAAGTGGGACTAAGTGGTTTTCCCCCAGTTCTCCATCTTTCAGGATACTTTCTGTGCAAGATAGACAACTACTGACCTCTTCCAGCTCTAGTAGCAATGATTTCAGCAAAGTCTGCAAATCCAGTATTTCACTGCTACTAGTGCACTTTGAAAGAAAAATAATGTGCCAAACAGTTATCTCATCTACAAACTAAGGTTTATCAATAAATTCAGAAACAACGCCAGTTCTCTAATCAGTTTTTTTATTGACCTTACCTCAGCACATTGTCCCCTTCTTAAAGCATTCAGGGTAGCTAGTATTAATCCACTGTTAGGAATGATTTATGCACTCTACGATCCATACTTCTATGATAGAAGACATTGTTTTTTCATTTCCTCTCAATTATTTCTGAAGATTTTAATCTTACTTTATCACAGAGTATCAAGTGCATCTCAGCCCTCTACCCCATTAGTTTTCCACAGAGCCAGAAGCCGCTAAGACCTCTGGATAATGAACAAACATAAACTCCACATTTTCAAGTAGTTTTAGAGATAACAATACAGAGGGAGCACCAGAGCGCCAGACATATGAATGATATATCTTACAAAATCATTTCTTCAGTAAACAATAAAGCAGCGCCAACTTTGTTAAAATCTCTCAGAGTCAGGACAAGTTAAAAAATCCATGTTGTGATGTTCAGTTTTAGAAGCTGTGCTCTATCTTAGCTTTTCCAGGAAAATCATGGAATCACAGAATGGCTAGGGTTGGAAGAGACCTTAAAGATTATCTAGCTCTGAACCCTCGCTGTCATGGTCAGGGAACCTTCTACTAGACCAAGTTGCTCAAAGCCCCATTCAGCCTGATCTTGAACACTTCCAGGGATGAGGCATCCACATTTTCTCTGGGCAGTGAATGGGTAAGTGCAAAATGTCTGACTGTTAAGCATACCCCAGAATACATCAGGGTACATAGGAATGGTACCGAGGATTGAGAAAAGCATCCTGACAGAGAGTGTACTTAAGTAATCAAACTTCTCAACAGGTTGTCCAGATGAGTTGTGCAATCTTCATCTCTCTTTTGCATATTTCAAACTCAAGTGCAAACAGCCCGGGGCATCCGGCTCTGGCTGACTCTGCCTGTGCAGTGTGGCTGGATGGGGCAGCCTCCAGAGTTGTCCTCCAGCCTCAGCCGTTCTGAGACTGTGACATTTTTGTATTTATACACAAATGTATAAGTGAAAGAGATAAGTGAAACAACAGTGCTGTGCTGGTGAAAACTCTTTTAATATAAGCTACAAAACCAGAGGCTGGCAATAGTCTTTCCTCAATAGGAAGAAGGTAGCCATGGGGTTATAGGTTTCTGTCTTTGTGAAACCTTCTAATAATACTTTATTTCAAGTGTTGATTTAGACATGAGGAAACACTTTTTTTGGTGAAGGTGGTGAGATGGAATGTCCCATCACTGGAAGTGTTCAAGTCAGGTTGGATGGGGCTTTGGGCAATGTGGTCTGGTGAAATATGTCCAAACACAGAGGAGTAAAAAGTGAAAGAAAACAGTTGTCATTTCAGAAAATATTTTAAAAACTACAGAGACCTAATGAACTCAGGAGATAAAAGAAGGTGGTTCCACATGGCAGAAGCTGGTGAAAAGAAATCTCTTCTACCCAAGTGGTAACACTGGGTGAGCAGGCAGAGCAGATGACTGCTGTAAGAGAAGCAGTAGCGTGACAGAGGAGGCAAAACAATGTACTTTAAAGAAATGCAATCTGCAAATTCAGTGTGTGCCATGTCTTGTGGATCTGATGGCACAGGAAACACAGCACTAGTAGAAAATTTTCTCAGCTAAGCAAAGTAGTTCAATCATTGAATCAGCTGCAAGAACCAGAAAAGAAGCCAGATTCTTACTTCCACAAAACAGGAAATAACTCATATGCCAAAAGTTGCATTCCCATGTTATAACACAAGCTTTTAAAGTGTTCTTAAGTTTTTATTCTCTTTAAAGGAGACCAAGTGAATGGTGCATAAAAATCCCTGTGTGTCTCTTGAAGACAATGCATGTCTCTCCTAAGAGCTAAACAAAATTATGTAGAAGGTAGAGAATTTCTCTTCAGTTTCAGAGAG